ATAGCCTAGAGGGAAGGAAGCTATGCAGAATTTTGCTCGTGACTTATAGATTAACTTACCGCTTAGATCAGAGTCCACGTCATCAATAACTATCTGGATGTTTTCCCCCTCTGGAGCCGATGCTCTACGTTCGGTCCAACCAGTCTCTTCCCTTGGCAAGTCCAGGGAGTGAGTACTGCGTGTTTTCCCCTGTGAACAGGGGTATAATCCAAGCTGGTTTTCTGGTACGGGAAGTTGAGGCTTCACGCTGCTTCTTCTTGGAAAAGGAGTGTCCACTATATAGTGACCAGAGGTCAAAAGAGATACACTAGCAGACCTCTGGTGGTCGACAACGGAATCAACTAGCACTGACGGAATGCTCCTTCTTATACGTGATCTTGTGAAGGAATCCCCCTCATCTACTGAGCAAGACTTATCAGTAGAACAGTGGGAATGTTCGTCAGGGGACATGGAGCTATCCCCTGTCCCTGTTGGGCTAAATCTAGCATCTGACGAGCGTATGGACTTGTGTTTAACTGCTAGTCTTTCACCACTATGATAACTCTCGGGGGCTCCACAATAAAGGCTTTGATCACCGTACGTGTTTACATTTACACTGTTGTCACTAGCATCAGAGCTTTCACAGCTGCTCTTCCTCACTTTCAACTCACTTTCAGATGCGATTTGTCGAAGTGGCTTCTCTGCAGCGTGGGGTACCTTTAGGTTATGACGGCGTTTCGATACGTAATTCAGATCCTTCTCGAAGCTCTCAGTGGCACTGCTGGATTCCAAAGAACTCCTTCTTTTACTTTTCTGAAAGTAAAAAGTTGGATCTGAACTTGGATCTTCCACATAACTCTTCTGTCGGTGGACTTTGGAGCGACGCTTCATTCGCTCTTTGCGTCTACGCTCCTTCTCTTCCTGATGAAAACGTTCTTCCAAGGAGCTCTCAGAAGGAGAAGAATAAATCTCCTGCTGTTGCAAAAAGTCACTGTAGGACCCGTGATGTGAGTCGTCTACAGGAGAAATATCTCTAACAGTGAGTTTCTTCGACGTATCTTTAGTAGACTCCGAAGACGATCGTCGATCACTTAAAGTTTCCCACGATAGATATCTCTCTTGAGAAGGTTTCACTGGAGATGAGGGTCTCGAGGAATATTCTCTTGTAGAAATAAAACCATTTCCTTGTTCCCAAGTTTTACTGGATCCTCGTCTTCTTACTGTCGTTTTAAAATCCTTCTTTCTGATAGAACTCTCTCCTCCATGATTGTCTTCTGTTGCATGGGACTTTGAGCTTCTCTTGTTTCTACTGTCACTGTTGTGACATGCCGTTGAATCTTCAATTTCTCTAGCGATTAGGCTTAATGCTGGTATATCTTCCTTAATAGAACTACAGGGGATGTCGGAGCTCATCTCATCTGTAGTTAACAGAGTGTCAAATTCGCAACCATAATCAAGAGTTAAAAAATAATCGTCTTTTTTCGCTCTTCGAGCTCTTTGCGTCTACAAGAGATAAAGTGAAGAAAGATGATAAAATATTAAACTATGTTACATCTTGTTTTGGTAACTACAATAGATAAAGTGAAGAAAGATGATAAAATATTAAACTATGTTACATCTTGTTTTGGTAACTACAACTAGATAAAGTGAAGAAAGATGATAAAATATTAAACTATGTTACATCTTGTTTTGGTAACTACAATAGATAAAGTGAAGAAAGATGATAAAATATTAAACTATGTTACATCTTG